GAGGAAACTGAGGTCCAGAAAGTTTAGGTGACTTATCCAAGGTCACAAAGCTAGGAAGTAGGTGGGCAAGTTAGGCATTAAACCCAGGTAGATGTCTGACTCCAGAGCCTACATCTGCATACAGGAAGCATCTTATTTTTTATTACTATGGCAAGAGGGGAGAGGGAATGATAATGAATAAATGAAAAACACTAAGGAAATGAATGGAAGTTGCTTCTGGAATTAGATCCTTTTGAGAACAGTACCCCATGGCTTTCATGAACTTGCCCAGAATAGTCTCTGTCCTCAGTGACTATAGTCATTGTTATGGAATGGAACAAACTGCAAATCCCTCGTGTCCTGCCAGATACCACAGTGGAGACCCCCTCTTTGTGTTCTGGGCATGGTTAGGATCTGGCCTGGGTTAACAATTCCCTCTGCTTCCTGCTGAAGGCAGACCCAGTGGGGGCAGCTGGGGACAGGCCCAGTGAGATCTTAAAGGTTCCCAAAATAGGAATAGCTATTTCTCTTGTATTCAGGGACAAGCCTGTAAAATGGGACTTTACCATCTTTGGTGCCATCTGTCACAGAATTTTTTGGGCTGTACCAGCCCCACCCCCAGCAAGGCTCACATTATCCAGGCAGTGCCCTCTTCAGCAACCTATGCCTCTTCTCCACTTAAGACCCCTGCCCAGCCTATGCCCCCTTTCCCAGCCAGTGCACCCTTCCACAACTGTGCCCAATCCCCAGTCATCCCCCCATACCCTGTGAACCCCTTGCCTAGTAAGTGTCTCCGCCCCCAGCCAGGTGCCCTCCCCTCTTCAAAAGCCAGGAATCTCTTTTTCATCCTATACCAACTTATATACCCTATGCCAACTAGGCTCCCTTCAGCAATGTCACCAGCCTATTCCCCCTTCCTTGCCCAGCTGCACTTCCTTAACCTTGCTCCTCAGTCTATTTCCTTTCTAGACCTAGGCCTCCTTTCTCAGGGAGTCCCCCTTCCCCACCCGATCCCCACCCTATGCTGCCTGCCCTTCTCTCATCAGGATCCCCGAACCTGCCTGTTCCCTGGAACCCAGTCATGCCCACTTTCTCAGCCAGGCCTCCTCACTTAGCCAGGCCCCTTCCATCCATTTATACCTTTCCTCCCAGGTAGGCCCCTTCCCAAGCCAAGGCCACTTCTCCAGTCAGGTCACCTTGCCCTGCTAGGCATGCTTCCCCTATATCTACTGATACAGCCTCCCCAGTCAGGCCCCATTTCCCAGCCAGTACTGCCTTCTGCAGCAACCCTACCCAGGCTCTCTGCCCCAGCTTGTTGCCTCTCCCCAGCCTGTGCCCCCGGACAGGTAGGCCCTCTTTGGCAACCAGGCAGCCTTCCCGAGCCTGAACTCCTGTCTCTAGCTGGTCCTGGATCATGAAGGAAATCTACCCCGGCCAGAGCCCCTTCGCCTGCCAGGTCCCCTTTGCCCAATATCCCTATCTCCAGGCAGGTTCCACGACCCAACTTTATTTTCCTTGCTCAGCTTGTGTCCCTTTGCCCAGGGCCCCTTTCCCCAGCCAGACTCTCTTCCTCAAGCTGTGTCTTTAGATTGGCCCCTTTCTTAGCCATCTGATCAGTCTGTGCGCACCTCTCTGCCCTCTAACCACTTACTACTGCTAGGTTCCCAGTCTGTGTCTCGGTGGGGCTTCCTCCTCATCCTGTACCCACACTGGATGCCCCTCCTTCCTTCCTCTCCCCAGGCCAGCCTCAATCCCAGCCAGAGCTTATTCCCCAACCTGAGACCCTGCTGACAGCCTCCATAGGCACTCTGCCCTTCCCCAGCCCAGGCCTTTTATCAACTCTATGTCCCCTTCCCACAGCCAGGCACCCATCCCCAGCCTTTCCCCTTTTCAACTGGACCATTTTTCCAAGGAGTTGCCCCTTTGCTGGCCTTTCCCAGCCAGCACTTCCTTCCGCAGTCAGGCAGTTCTCCCTTACCTGCCCAGTGGCCTCCCTAGCCATGCAACCTTTCCCACCAGGATCCCTTCACTCACATGTGCCCCATGCTAAGCCAAGTCTGCTTCCCCAGCTAGGAACGCTTTCCTAGCCGTGCCCCTCCTGCAGTCAAGCTCTCTTCACGCAATATGCCCTCTGCCCCAGTCTGTGCTCCTTTTTCCAGGCAGGCCTCCTTCCACAACCTTCGCCTGACCAGGCCTCTTATCCAGCCTATTGCCTCTACCCCAGCCAGACGCCATTCCTATCCTGTGTCCCCCTCCACAACTAAGCCCGTTTTCTCAACCATGTGCCCTTCCTCAGCCAAGTTCCCGTCAGGTGGAGAGGCTCTCATTCCCAGGCATGATCTCTTTCCCAGCAAGCTCTCTCCACCTGCTAGGCCCCTTCTCCCAGCCAGGCCCACTAAACTGCCTATGATCCCATCTCTAGCCTATGTCCTTCTCGGTATTCAAACCTCTCCCACCACCAGGTTCCCTTTCCTAGTCTGTGCCTCCCTCCCCAGCCCCTTCCGCTGTCAGAGTCCGCCTCCAGTTAGGCAACCTTTCCCTAAGGGGTCTTTTTACCCCACGATCCTCCCTACCCCACACCCATCTGTCTTCCATAGATTGTACCAGCCTTTCAAGACTGTGGTCCCTTTACAAGACAGGCATATCCCCACGTCTGGGACCCTTCCTCAGTCTCGCCCTCTCCGCCAATCTATGTCCTTCTCCTCAAGTCTATGTCCTCCTCCCCAGCTTATGCTTGCTTTCCTGCTAGATCTCCTTCACTGATCCAGTGCCTTCTCCAGCCTGGACTCCATTGGATAGCCCATGTCCCCTCCTCCAGCCAGGTGTCCTTCCCCAGCCTTTCCTCTCATTAACAGCTAGGAACACCTTTCTCATCCTTTGGCTCCTAACTCAACTGGGCCTCCTTCCCTTGACCAGCCAGTTCTTCCCTAACCAGCTCCCTCCACCCCAGCTCACCCTATTATGCCCCTCCCAGCCAGGCTTCCTTGCCCACCCCGTGTCCCAGTCCATAGCCAGGTTCCCTTGCCCAGCCTTGTCCCCTTCCTCTGCCTGTGCCTCCCTAGCCTGTTCCCTCTTCCCCAACATCTTCCTCTTTGCCCTGCCAAGGCCACTCCCACACTTGGCCCCTTTGGTCACCTAAGCCTGCATCATCAGCCTGGCCACCTCTCCCAGCCAGTGTTCCCCTACCCTTGCAGCCAGGTCCCCTCTCCCCCCATCCCAGCCAGGTTTCCTTCTTCCATGACCCCTGCACACCATATGTCACTTCTTCAGCCTGTGTGCCCTCCCCAGTGAGGCTCTCTTCCCTATCCAGGCCCAATTTCCCAATTTCCTTCAATTCCCCTGGCCAGGCAGGTTGCCTGAGCCATTTCCCCATTCAATAGCCAAAGTCCCATTGCTCATTGAGTTGCCCCCGGTCAGCCTATTCCTCCTTGTATAGGCAGTGACTCTTTCTTGACCCAGCCCCCTTGCCTGACCTTTTCTCCACCCAACTCCCCCCCTGCCAGGACCCATTCTCCAGACTGTAGCCCAGTTCCCAAACAGCTTCCCTTCCCAAGCCAGGCCCCCTTCCTCTCCTTCTCCAGCCTGCCCCAACTGGGCCACCTTCTACCAGGAACCCTTCCCCAGCCCATGCCCCAGCCTCCAGCCTGGACCTTTTCCAGGCGTCCTCCCTCAGCCAGGCCTTCTTTCCTAGCCTGTGCCCCCCTACCCAGATGGGCCTCTTTGTCCATGAAGGTCCCCTACCCTAGCCAGGCCTCTTCTTTTAGCTTGTCACCCCCCCCCGACCCTATGTAGCCCACTGAAGTAGAGCACCTTTCCCATTTCTAGAGCGCTTCGCCAGCCTTTGCCCCTGTCCCCACTCAGCAACCACCACCCTGCCACCCCCAACAGGCCTATGCTCCCTAACCCTCCAGGATTAGTAGATCCTGGGATATAAACTCTATATGAAGTTAGCTACACAAAAACAGAGAAGCAGGTATTTTTTAAATGGTTTTTATTTTTGAACAAACTACATGTTTAAAAACTTTTAAAAACATATATATTTTATCTTAGAGCATTTGGAATGTAGAAAGAATTTCCAAAATTAATCTCACTGAATTACAGAAAGTAAAGATTAAAATTTTCATAAATTGTTGACTGTAAATCATTTCACTTTATATTCTTTTGGAAAATTCAAGGATATTAACAAGTCTCAAACAACAAAAGTATATTGTTTACTTTTTTGTCTCATGTCAGTTATTGATATAACAAAATAGAATAAAACTTTAATATTTTAAAGGATCTTTTTAGATATTTCTCTCTCTCTAAGAAATAAGGAAAGTTGTTACATTCATATCTTTCACATTTCATACCAGATGATATAACAAGGTGGATCAAGTACTTGAATAAAGTCATAGTCTTTTATATCTCTAAGAATAAAGGAAACTTACTCGATTCAGATCTTCACCCCTTAGAGTAAGTAAATTACCTATCAATGTGTCTCTTTTTTCTTTATACCAGTTGTAAAGATAATGAAACATATCAACTATTTGAATAAAGTCATATATCTTCCTACCTTTAGTAAAGGAAATTAAGTTTAGATCTTTCACTTGTTAGAGTAAACCTTATCTAGCCTATCAGTTAATCTAAATTTACTTTCTCTATTTAACAGATTTACCTTACATGTTTAACAAATGCTGTTATTTAGAATTAGCAAACATGGGAGCAACTAAAGTTAATTAGGAACCACATAAGTTTTGATGAAAAAAACAAAACAAAGTACCAGCGGATCTCTTGTTCATAACTTGAGACATCTCCTGAGTAGCCCAGCTTAAGTAAAAAGCAAACCATGACAAACTTTCCCCCCAAAACTCAGCAAAAGGCCTTCACAAGGCATTTTGATCACATAAACTCCAATTTTGTCTAAGTAATCCAAGATATTCATAGGAAAACCTGGAGACTCCCCGAGCTAGTCTACTAGATTTATTTTTCCCAGAACACATGAAACTTAACATTTCCTTTTTTTCCTTTATTTTTTTGAGATGGAGTCTCGCTCTGTCTTCCACGCTGGAGTGCAAAGGCACGATCTCGGCTCACTGCAACCTCCGCCTCCCAGGTTCAATTGATTCTCCTGCCTCAGCCTCCCAAGTAGCTGGGATTACAGGCGTCCGCCACCACGCCCGGCTAATTTTTTATTTTTTTTGAGACGGAGTCTCACTGTCTTCCACGCTGGAGTGCAAAGGCACGATCTCGGCTCACTGCAACCTCCGCTTCCCATCAAGCGATTCTCCTGCCTCAGCCTCCCGAGTAGCTGGGATTACAGGCGCCCGCCACCACGCCCGGCTAATTGTTGTATTTTTGTAGAGACGGGGTTCCACCATGTTGGTCAGGCTGGTCTCGAACCCCTAACCTCGTGATCCGCCCACCTCCGCCTCCCAAAGTGCTGGGATTACAGGCGTGAGCCACCGCGCCCGGCCAACATTTCCATTTTTATCGTTAAGTTATGCACAACATGACCAAATCTTAGTCGGTGAGGGAGGTAAAGACCCTTATGGGCAAGAAGAGGTTAGCACTTATCAAACGTATGCCCCTCTGGTGGTTTCAATGCAGAGATTTCCCTCATATTTCCAGGGAATTTCCCTCGAATTTCATTTCCCACCCCGTGAAAGCAGCAAGGTTAGGAAAGCGGGGGCGGGGCAGGGGGGATAGTTATGATCAAAAGGAAGGAAAAAAAAAAAAAAACAACTGAGAAAAGCAAAGGGGGAAAATAAACTGAGCCTACTGAGGAGATGCGGCGAAGGAAACGCTTCCGCGGGGCCGCTGGGTGCCTCGGGGCCTACCGGAGACGCGGGAGCGCGCCCCCGGCGGCGCCGGCCTCGAGCGGTCTCACGGAGTTGTAGTGCTCGCCGAGGCTGTAGGCGTAGTGCAGGTAGACCAGGATGATCGGCTTCTTGACGTACTCCTCCCCGATGACCAAGGTGGGCGAGTTGGCCTGGATCACCTCGATGGGGGTCTTCAGGACGTGCGACAGGGCCCTCAGCTCCAGCTGGCCTCCCCATGCCGCGGTGCGCACGATGTTGTCGCAGTAGATCATGAAGTCGTCGTAGCCGAGGGGGTCGCCGGTCTCCGGGTTGCTGAAGAAGGGCAGGAACTCGTCGACGTGCTTCTGCATGTAGCTGGCGGTGCGGCAGCGCAGCATCTCCACCGACACGCTGAACACCAGCTGGTCTTGGATGGCGCGGTACATGCAGTGGCCGTCGGCCGGGATCTCCTTCATCTCCAGACCTCTGGCTCCCAGGATGTCGGCGAGCTTCTCCTCCTCCTCGCGCCTGAAGCCGGCCAGGTGCTCAGACATCTCGGCCTGGAAGATGCTCTCCTGGCGCTCCCTCTCCTGGGACTCCATTCTTTCTCGCTTTCTCTGGGCTTTGGAGGGGCGGGGAGGCCGGTTTTCCAGATCCATCTTGGCCAGGTCTTCGACGACAGATTCAACGCTACGGTCGTCCTGGAACTTCTCCAGCTCCTGCCGGTGCTTCTGCGCCATCTCGGCCTCCATGCGGGCCACGTCTTGGAGCAACTGCTTTCTTTTCTTCTTATCGGTCTTGGGGACCGAGTTTTTTAAGCTCTGGATCTGGGCCTGCAGCTCCTTCTTCTCGCGTTGGTGGCGGCGCAGTATGCGCTGCTGTTCACTCTTCGGATCATCCATGATGTTGAATGGCAAGCGGGAGTTCAAATATGCTGACAGTTCAAGTACCAAACAGACCAGAAGTCCTCAGCTTGCCCTAACGGTCGCTCTCTTTCACCTCAGCCGGCTCTAACCGCCGCTCTTGGCTCACCTCAGCCACCGCTTCCCCTCCCCCATTCACATTCTTCTCTGCCATTGGTTACTGTGTCTCCATGGCCACGCCCCCGCAGGCATGCCCAGTGCTAGGATTGGCTGTTGGGAGACGGACGTATGCGCCCATTGGACCCCACAGCAAAGGTTTTTGGCGGGATTCAAATATGGCCTTCCTGCAATGTGTGTGGCAGTTGGGCTTGTAGAGTCTTTCGCTGATTGACAGCCCAGTTCATTTCCAAGTCTGCACACAATGCAGGCAGTAGCCATACTTGACAGCCACACGACAGATACTACACCGCTGAATGTGCTCTAACCCTGGACTTGGCATTGCCCCTACTGTTGAGGAAGCAGTGCGTTTTTCTCCAGTCTTTCAGGTCCCTTAACCGGGGAACCATTAACTTTTGTGCATCAAAGGACATTTCCCTACATTCCTGCAAACACAGTCCTTTCAGTTTACTCTTTTTTTTTTGGCGGGGTGGGGGGCGGGGAATGGAGTCTCGCTCTGTCGCCCAGGCTGGAGTGCAGTGGTGCAATCTCGGCTCACTGCAACCTCTGCCTCCCGGGTCCAAGCGATTCTCCTGCCTCAGGCATGCACGACCACGCCCAGCTACTTTATGCTTTTTTTTTTTTTTTGGCGGGGTGGGGGGCGGTGGGGGGACGGACAGAGTCCCTCGTTGCCCAGGCTGGAGTGCAGTGGTGCAATCTCGGCTCACTGCAACCTCTGCCTCCCGGGTCCAAGCGATTCTCCTGCCTCAGCCTCCCGGGTAGCTGGGACTACAGGCGCCTGCCACCATGCCCGGCTAATTTTGGTAGTTTTGGTAGAGACGAGGTTTTGCCATGTTGGCCAGGCTGGTCTTAAACTCCTGACCTCAGGTGATTTACTCACCTCGGCCTCCCAAAGTGCTGGGATTAAAGCGTGAGCCACTGTGCCCAGCCACAAGTTTTTATTTTAGCCATTTTGATAAGTGTGAAGTGGTATCTCATTGTGGCTTTAATTTATAGTTCCCTAATGGCTGATGACGTTCCTCTTTTTATGTGCTCATTTGCCATCTATGCCATATCCTTTTCAGTATAATGTTTATGTCATTTGCCTATTTTCTCTCTCTTTTCTTTTTTTTTTTTAGTGATGGGGTCTAGCTCTGTCACCGAGGGTGGAAAGCAGTGGCATGATCATGGTTCATTGCAGCCTCAAACTCCTGAGATCAGGTTCAGATGATCCTCCCACCTCAACCTCCTGAGTAGCTGGGACTACAGGCACCACCATGCTTGGCTAATTTTGGGGATTTTTTTTTTTTTTTCCCAGATGCAGTGGCTCACACCTGTAATCCCAGCACTTTGGGAGGCCAAGGTGAGAGGATCTCTTGAAGTCAGGAGTTCCAGACAAGCCTGGGCAACATGGTAAAGCCCCATCTGTACCAAAAATACAAAAAATAAGCCTGGTGTGGTGGTGTGTGCCTGTAGTCCCAACTACTCCTGGGGGCTGAGGTGGGAGGATAGCTTGAGCCTGGGAAGCAGAAGTTGTAGTGAGCCAAGACAGCAGCACTGCACTCCAGTCTGGACTCAAGTGATCCTCCACCTCTGCCTCTCAAAGTGCTGGGATTACAGGTGTGAGACACCACGCTCAGCCCTTCATCTGCCTATTTTCTTTCTCTCTCTCTCACTCTCTTTCTTCCTCTCTCTCTCTCTCTTACTCTCTTTCTCCTTCCTTCCTTCCTTTCTTTCTTTTTTTTTTTTGAGACAGAGTCTTGCTCTGTTGCCCAGGCTGGAGTACAGTGGCATGATCTGGGCTCACTGCAGCCTCCACCTTCTGGGTTCCAGCAAGTCTCATGTCTCAGCCTCCTGAGTAGCTGGGACTACAGGTGCACACCACCACACCCGGATAATTTTTGTATTTTTAGTAGAGACAGAGTTTTACCATGTTGGCCAGGCTGGTCTTGAACTCCTGAGCTCAAGCGATCCTCCTGTCTTGGCCTCTCAAAGTGCTGGGACGACTACACGCACCACCATATCCAGCTAACTTTTTGTTTTTTTTTTTTTCCTTTTTGTAGAAATGGGGGCTTCGTTATGTTGCTCAGGCTGGTTTCAAACTCCTGAGCTCAAGCGATCCTCTCACCTCAGCCTCCCAAAATGCTGAGATTACAGGTGTGAGCCACCGTGCCTGGCCAGGATTTTTGTAGGAATCATGTTCAAGCTGTCTATCAATTTGGGGAGAATTGACATCTTTACTATGTTGAGTCTTCCGGTCCTTGAACACCTGGATATTTATCTCCATTTATGTAGATCTTCATTGATTTCTTTCAGTGACACTGTATAATTTTCAGCATATAAATCCTGTGCACATTTTGTTGGATTTACACTTAAGCATTTCTCTTTTTTTGAGTGATTGTAAATGGTATCGTATTTTTAGTGTTCACATGGTCATTGCTAGTATATAAAAATACAGTTTTAAAAAAATTTATCTTGTGTTCTATGACCTTGCTTAACTAGCTAATTATTTCTAGGAGGTTTTTTTTTTTCCCCCTTGATTCCTTGGAATTTTCTATGTAGACAATCATGTCATCTGTGAATAGGGACAGTTTTATTTCATCCTTTCCAGTAAGTGTGTCTTTTATTTCCTTTTCTTGCCTTATTGTGCTGATTACAACTTCCAGCACTATGTTGGATAAGTGTGGCAAGGGCAGACATCCTTGTTTTGTTCTTGATTTTAGGAGGAAAAGAATTTCGTCTTTCACTGATAAGTATGATGCTAGCTGTAGGATTTTGTAGATGTTATTTATCTAGTTGAGGCCTTTCCCATCTATTCCTATTTTTCTGAGAGTTTTTGACATGAATGGGTATTGAACGTTGTCAATGTTTTTTCTGTATTGATATGCTAATATGATTTTTCTTCTATAACCTATTAATATGATAGATTACAGTGACTGATTTTTAAGTATTGACCTAGTCTTGCATTTCAGAAATAAACCCGATTTGGTCATAGTTTATCATTATTTTTATATGTTGAGGAATTCTTTTGGTAATTTAAAAAAGGATTAAAAAATATACATTCATGAGAGGTATTGGTCTGCAGTTTTCTTTTTTGGTACTGTTTTGTTTAGTTTTAGTGTCAGGGTAAATACTAACTTCACAGGAAGAGGAGGGAAGTGTTCCTTCCTCTTCTATTTTTTGGAAAGAGATTGTGTAAAATCAGTAGTAATTCTTCTTTAAACATTTGATAGAATTCTCCAGTGAAAACTTCAGGGCCAAGAGATCACTTTCTTGGGAGTTTTAAAATTAAAAAATATTTTTCCTTAATAGGACTAATCAAATTATGTATTTCATATTGAGTAAAATTTGGTAGCTTGTGTTTTTTGAGGAATTGGGCCATTTATTCTGAGTAGTCAAATTTATGTATGTAGAATTATTTGTACTATTCCATTTTTATTGTTTGATGTTGGGAGGATTTATAGTGGTATTCCCTGCTTTATTGGTAATTCGTGTTTCCTCTTTTGTTCTTTGTCAGTCTTGCTAGAGATTTGTCAATTTTATTGATCTTTTCAAAGAACTAACATGTTGCCTTATTGATTTTCCCCATTGATTTTCTGTTTTAAATTTCATTAATTTATGCTATTTATTATATTCTTCCTTCTGCTTGCTTTGGGTTTAGTTTGCCCTTCTTTTGCTAGGTTCTTGAGGTGGGAGCTTGGATAATTGATTTCAGACTTTTTGTCTTTTTCCAATGTATACACTTAATGATACAAACTTCCTTCTCAGTACTATTTTAACTGGTTCTTCCATGTTTTGATATGTTTAGTTTTCATTATCTTTCAGTTCAATGTACTTTTTGGTTTTCCTTGAGACTTTCTGGCCCATAGATTATTTACAAGTGAGTTATTAGCTTCCAAGTGTTTGTAGGTTTTCCTGTTATCTGTTAATGATTTCTACTTTGATTCTGATATGGTTTTGGTCTGTGTCCCTGCCCAAACCTCATGTTGAATTGTAATCCCCTCTGTTGGAGGTGGGGCCTGTGGGAGGCGATTGGATCATGGGGGCAGATTTCTCATGAGTGGTTTAGCACCATCCTCTTGGTACTGTCCTTGAGATTGTGAGTGAGTTCTTGTGAGATCTAGTTGTTCAAAAGTGTGTGGCACCTCCCCCAATCTCTTTCTTGCTCCTGCTTCCTCCAAGATTGGAAGTGTCCTGAGATCTCCCTAAAAAGCAGAGTTGCTATGGTTCCTGTACAGCCAGCAGAACCATGAGCCAATTAAACCTCCTTTCTCTTTTGTTTATCACTTACCCAGTCTCTGGTATTCTTCCTTTTTTTTTTTTTTTTTTTTTTTTGAGATGGAGTCTCGCTCTGTCACCCAGGCTGGAGTGCAGTGGGGCGATCTCGTTTCACTGCAACCTCCACCTCCTGGGTTCAAGCGATTCTCCTGCCTCAGCCTCTAGCAACTAATTTTTGTATTTTTAGTAGAGACAGGGTTTCATCATGTTGACCAGGCTGGTCTCGAACTCCTGACCTCAAGTAATCCGCCCACCTTGGCCTCCCAAGGTGCTGGGATTACAGGTATGAGCCACTGCACCCAGCTGGTGTTTCTTTTTCTGTTTTCTCTTTTTTTTTTTTGAGATGGAGTCTTGCTCCATCACCCAGGCTGGAGTGCAGTGGTGCAATCTCAGCTCACTGCAACCTCCGCCTCCTGGGTTCAAGCAATTCTCCTGTCTCAGCCTCCCAAGTAGCTGGGACTACAGGCACTTGTCACCACTCCCGGCTAACTTTTGTATTTTTAGTAGAGATGGGGTTTTACCCTGTTGGTCAGGCTGGTCTTGAACTCCTGATCTCAGGCGATCCACCCGCCTCGGCCTCCCAAACTGCTGGGATTACAGGCGTGAGCTACTGCTCCTGGCCCAGCCGGTATTTCTTTATATATAGCTATGCAAGAATAGCCTAC